TCTGTCACCTGCACATCTGTAAAGTCAAAGATTCGTTGGATGATGCTGACTGTGTCTTAAATTAATATTCTCATGTCTGAGCGCAACTTTGACCTCGCACAAATTCCAATTCCCTATTTATTTTAGCATTCTCTTGGGATAAGGAACAATATTTGCACTTATGCGGCAACACAAAGAATGCCAATTCCTGAAATACCGTTAGTAATGAGCATGAGGTTAATGCTCAAGCAAAATGATTGGCCATGTATTTGATACTGAAGATGCTCCAATACGATGGAGTCATGGCTAACATAAATGGCCCTTAAACAACAGCGGCGATGGAACATGCCATGAAACCTGCTCTTGCAAGAGATATGCGCTGATTTCTCTATACCTTAAATTTGAAGTCTAATTCAGAATTCTAAAAATCCTATATTTGATGATGGCGCGTTGAACTTTCTTCAGTACAGCAGTGACTCCAAAATCCCAGTTAGCAGAAATGATTAGAGGCGCTTAAGGAGGTGCAAAAAATTTTTTTAGCAAAGTATACATACTTAAAATTTTATCTGATTAAGAGAACAAAACAAAGCTAGCAAATTAGAAAGTAATTCAGTAAACTCAGCCTAATAAGCTTTCTTAATCCGTTCTGTACAGAATTAGTGGAGCTTCTAGGAAATCGATACAATATAGAAAGGTCATCGTTATGGTTTTTAAGAATGAGACTGTTGTGTTAAGCTATGCGAAAGCACAAACAAATTCAAAATGGATAAAGGCGTACGACAGGGAAATGTAAATCACCGAAATCATTAGAACAGGCATTCCAGGCAGTCAGTTGGGAAAATCAGGAGCTGAACATAAATGCGCTCTACTCAAGCCATCTTCCTTCGCGGATGACACTCGGATTCGCTCAAGGGAACTACAAGAACTGCAAAGAAGAATTCAACAGCTGGACCATGTCAGCATGAAGGTGGGACCTAAAATGAACCTAATGAAGATTCAGGCAATGTTCAATAAATATTTGACCTCGCCATCTGTGGTTTTCAGAAGACGTCCAATTGAAGAAGTGCAAAAGCAGGTCTGTCTGAGTAAGTTGAAACGACAAGGACCGGAACATGCTGCAAGAAGAATCGATGATTGCTGGATCAGAAAGAGACTGAAACATATGTCAAGAGACAGTAAATTTCCACCGGAAGTCCTCAAGTTCGATGAAATGGTGCATTGAAGAAGTCCTTTGTACCAAGATGGATAAAAATAGAAGAAAACAGAAGTTTACGAGAAATTCATGAAGAGGCCTTCATCTAGAATTAGATGGGAAAAGACTGATTATGAAACTATTACACATTAAAGATAAGTTGAAATCTTATGCAGTTGAACCTACATGTACCGGCCCTTTGGGTCCTCAGGTTAGTAAAAAGTTGCATTAAGGGTCGCAGTAATGAGCATTTAGGAAAGCTTATGCAAGGAGTCATGCAATATTTTACTCAATCTCAACTCTTCGTCACATAGAGACATCAAGCGAAACAAGTGAATTCCAAAAAAAATACTAAAGAGAAGAACCAAGGAATGTGTATAGAGAATATATTCATAAAAATAAACGCTCATGCCTACCTTTCATAGACATGCGTTGAATTAGCCGCCATAACAAAGAGGCCACAAACTCCCTTTTATCCGGAGAGTCAATCCTCACCAACTGGGAAGAAATATCTTGGCAGAAACTGTTTGCCTCGTACCAACTTCTCTTTTGCACTACGAACTTGTAGCACGTCCCGTTAAACGCGACGCTGCTATCTTCACACAATGTGCTTGCAACGGTCTCTGAAATATGACAGATTCCTTTAGAGCTTTAATAGGTCTGAAACAAAGCTTTAATTATTAACCACAACTCAGTGTTACTGAAACATATTATTCAAACGATTAAAAAATCGAAAAATTTAAGTATCTGGGGTTTACTGTTTTGGACAATAACACCGTCTAGTAAGAGTTACATTGGAGAATTACCCTTGGCCCCAGTGCTCTTGTTAACCTGTCTAATATTTTAGTTGAGAACGTGAGACCGGCATAACCCACTCCACAAACTTCCACCTGTACGTTTACCCGGCCAGGCCAGCACTGCTGTACGGTATGGAGACAGCTGTTTTGGCGAAAATTTGACAAAGAACCAAGAACTACTGTTGATGCGCATGCAGCAACGTTGACTTCGCCTTTAAAGCCGATTAAATGGCATTACCGCATAAGGAATAACTCTGTTATCATCCAAGCCCCTGTGACCTCAGCAGACCTAGAGATTATAAAACGGCGGTTGGACCTGCTAGACTAACTGGTTGAGCATAAACCATATACTCTCGCCCGGGAGCAGCTATTTCAACCAACAGGTGACAGATTCATCGAGGTGGTCAGTAAGCAACATGGAGGAAGAAGGTAGAGCCACATACAAATGAAACGAACTTATCATTTTCAAGTCAATCTTACCGTACCAGTGCATATGGTCATTAGTGAGAACGTCGATTAAAAGACTGGAACTGGGATACGGAATAAAAGCGATTAAATGATGTTTCGAAAGGTAGCAAGTGAGTACTCGACGAGCATGACGACACAAAAATCCAAATACCCTAATGCTAGGGGCAATCATAGCTGAGGTGTCGTCATGAGGTAATCGCGCATTAGCGCGATCGACTACTTTGTTTTTACAGAATGACCTAATCGGATCATGTCAAGCGCTCTATGCATTGGTGCCAATGAGGTCGCTAGCTAGTACTCGTCAATCATGGCCGTATATAAACTCATCATTTTGCCTCTTGCTCGATGTGTTGTATCGCCTCGTCTTTGTGTGAGTTTGCTTTGCCCGGCTCGGCCATCGCAATAAACTTATATCTAGATCTGGCCCTGTGAAGATACAACACCAAGATGGAGAATAAAATCTTTCCGAGATCCAGAAATCACAAACACAACAGTTTGGAAAATTTATAAAGATGCCACCGGTGAAAAGACTCATATCCACATGACCAAAGCCAATGTGTATAACGGTCACGGATCGATCATACCAGTCACCTGGCTCTGCCGCGTCTTTAAGCACAGACAATGGGGCTGTAACGACTGTCAAAGAACCGATACCAATGGAGAAACCTAACGCAGCTGTTTCCATCTGGTCTAAAACGAATAATCATATTCGAACATGAATTAATGCAATATCCAACAACTAGTGATTGGTGCCGTGTTTGAATGGGCCAATGAAGTTACCATCAAGATGAAACATGAATCAAATGATTGTCGTCATCTCAGTTTTCAAGTGCCTGAGATTAAGTAACATAGTCAAGTCGATATACCCATATAATGTTCGCATCTCTTTCATGGCATTAAATTTCATTTTTTTCAGTGTATTCACAAATTACCTCACGAGCGCAGCATTTTCTATGAACCCATAATAAACAGTGCACAGCAAAATGCAGTCAAGCTGTATTATGACGAACCTCACTAAACCGCGGCTTTGGGTATACTGCTGATTTGTTCATGTCCCCTATGATGTTCCTTATGTTCACTTATGTTCCTCATGAATAACTACTAGGCAAATTATATAAGGTTGCACCTTGCAGTGGTGTTAATGTAAAGAATCGTCTTTTGGCAGACACTCTGCTAACTCAACACCATGCATATAATTGGCTGCGGAAAACAGACACCCATGCTGCCCTATCTATTATCTCAAAGTCGTATTAATCAATTGACAGAATAAAGAGATGTGTGGGAATAAGTCTCCAAAAAGTTAGGACTATTTTAAAAGCTCTAATTAAAGTATGATATTATATGTTTAAATCGAAATACGATATCAGCGATGTAATATATGCCATAACGTTTGATATCAAGCATTTATTCTAATATACTCAATAGGGAGTTTTAAGAATTTCCCAGGAAGTTTTCCGAAATATCGTCGATGAATTTCTGTCTCCTAAAAGTACCGAAAAAATAGAGTCTTGTTTAAATATGCAAAATAAATCAACTGAAATAAATTTGGGAACGTCTGCTAGATAGCAGAAATAGCAATTTAAGATAAATGAGCTGGTAAATATTTGTCAATATGTTGTAGGAAATTGGACGATTAAGAACTATTTATCCATTAAATGACAGATGCGCAAAAGTTATAAGGACAACTAAGTGTCTCAACATCATATGCAACAAATATTTTGTACAGTAGTAAATTACTTACGTTTTACACCAATGCAAGTTCCATTATTTCGGCAAACGTTTCGTTCGCACTGTTTGAACTCCAGTCCAGATCCTAAAATAACAGCGTATTAAACACAGTACACGTCACTGAAAGGAATATTCATTATATCGGTACCAGTCATAATTTTATCTTTTAAATATTACTAGTTTCAACGAAGTTATAATATATACTACTATTGAATTTCGAAAACTACTTTGTTAAATATGGGCGATTACTCTCAGAGTTTATGGCAGTTGTTTAAGAAATGGGACAAAAATATTTTGAGAAGAATCTTTATCATCGAATTTGTGATTTGTACTGTAATATCTAGTGACAGACTGAGCAAAGGACCAGACGCTTTGCTGGAGGCAAAAAAACTAAAAGAGACCGTATGTGCAAATTAAAGCAAATGACATGTTTTCAACCACTAAAATTTCTCATTATGCTTTTGAAAACACAATCTTGGTGAGAACACATGAAAAGGTAACTTCAATGACTAACGCCTACTGCTGCGGCACGTATATGGAATTATGAGGCCAACGGTTGAGGAGTCGCGTGAGGCATCCAAATCTTTCCGTGATCGTGCCAAATCATACAAATACACAGTCGTGCTGCTACATGCATGCGACAATACGATGAATCTGTTTCTTGATCCATCATCTTCATTTCACTCGCTTTTGTTATCTATGATACTTTTGCTTAAGGACATTTGTAGTTTTAATCCATATTTATTAATGGAGAGCGACTAAGGAACTGTTCACCATATTATGAATTATCCGAGTCGAGATGACGCCTTTTATTTTGTGGAAATATCGATTGGAAAGATTTTAGTTCAATGTATAGATGTTTGTCTAAGATGTTTCCTTAGCAGCTTACGATTTAAATAGGGAATTGTGTGTTCGATGTAAGAAAATGAATACCTCATTCAATAAGAACT